TTGCAACCCTCAGAAGCAGAGTGTCAGATCTTTCTCCCATGGAGCTGCTGGGTGGGTTCAAACCTCCAACCTTTTGATTAGCAGCTGGACATTTGTGCCATCAGGGATCCTTGTGATTAAGTACCCAGGATTTTAAGGACCTCAATCCTAGCTACACAAAGCTTTGTGTCCCTGCTGCCGTCTCAGGTGGACTCCCTGTGCCGGGAGGGCCGAAACCGTCTTGGCCCTCATTTGAATTGGGCTAACTATTGAGAGCTGCTGTATGCGGAGAACTGAACCAACTAGCTGGGGAATACTGAATGAAAAGTAAAATACTGGTTCTTGACCTCAGAGAGTTTCCTGGTTTGGGGAGTATGGGGATCACAGACAACAATGGCTGGACTTGCCAGACCAAAGTCCCTGCCATCGAGTCCCTTCTGATACACAGTGACCCTTAGGGCAGAGTAGAACTGCCCCTTTGGGTTTCTGAGAATGCAAATCTTTACAGGAGCAGAAAGCCTCATCTTTTTTCCCACAGAGTGAGTAGTGGGTTTGAACTGTTGTCCTTGGGGTTAGCAGCTCCTTATAGACACCCCTATGTGGACATAAAGCGAAAGCTCGTAGACTCTGCCACTTAAGACACAGATAAGTGTATAAAGTGAGAATTTTTACTGCCCTACAGTATAAATCAAGAATTTCAAGACCCCCAAATCTGTATGTCCGACATACGGAGTAGCAGATTCATGGTTTAAGAGGTGGTGTTCCAGGTATGAAGATACTACAGGTTAGAAATATAATATGGAGCAAGCTCACAATTCAATACTTCTTTGACCTATGCATGTCTTGTGTATGAGTTTGTCTATATTCCTGAACCCAGCCTCATAGAAAACAGGGCAAAGGGAGCTGTCTGCCCATCTGTGCCACCTCCTCCAGTGGGCCTGCTGTGCTGTGACAGCTACAGGGGTAAACCAAAATACAGTGACTTGGAGCCTAACTGGGGCCCTAGTAGCACAATGTGTTGGTTACATGTTGGCTGTTATGCATGAGGTTGGTGGTTCAAACCCACTAACCACTCTGTAGGAGAAAGATAAGACTGCCTACTCCTGTAAACATGTACAGCATTGGGAACCCTAGGGAGAAGTTCTACCCCTGTCCTACAGAGTCTCTGTGAGTTGGAAATTGACTCAATGGCAGGGAGTATTCTGGGTAAGCCCAACCCAAACTGTCATATTCTGTCTGTCTCTCTCTCTCCCAGACCTGACATGGGTCTGACCTCAGTCGGGAAGATAGGATGCAACATTTGGTAAATAAAGGAAGGTCAAGTTCAGTTGATGCATGTACCTTCATCATTGTGGCAAGGCAGGTGGCAGGCAGGCAGGTTTCCTCTGCAGTGTCTGGGATCCTACAGCTAACCAGGCTGTGAGCCTTGGGATTGCCTAACCTCAGCAGATCTCCCTTTCCTAACCGAAGATGAGGAAGATGGGCTGTACCTGTGATGCACGGTCACTGCTCCACTGATTCGAGTTGTTCACATGTTCACCCACCCCAGGCACAATGGCAAAGGGAAACGAGGACAGAGTTTTATACTGCTAGTGTGCAACGCATCCTGAGTGAATGCCTTTCTGACTTGGTAAAACGTGTCCTCCTGTTGACATAGCGATGGTGAGGTGACAACAGACGGTACTAGATGTTTTATCGCCTTGGTGCCTTTGAATGTGCTTAGTGAACAGAACACAATGTGGACAACAGCACTGTGTTTCTTCCCGGTGTTTCTGGGGAGGGAAATCTTTGCAAGGCCATTGAATCAATTGAATTCAGAAAACCAACAGGTTAGATGACTTTGCAGTTGAACAGCCTCAACTTCTCCAGTCCCCTTAGTATGTGTATTGTAAAGTTGGCTTTTTAATTCATTTTATTTGGGGGTTGGTTTTTTCCCCATAGCACTTTAGAATGAGTGTACCCTTGCTCTTAGGCAGAATTAGGCCAATATGGGCAGTGTGGGTCTGTTGTCTCGAGGTCATGGACATGTTTTCTAGGTCACTGGTTTGTCTCTAGCCACCGTTCCAGCTCTCTGGGATGCAGAGATGCCCTTTTGACATGTGCTTACTTACCTGTACTGAGAATACTAGGAATTCAGGTCTTGGTGCTCATCAGCTTTTCTGCACTGGATTCTGGGTGAATTCCAGTTGTGGATTAGCTTCACCCCAGAGAGCCTGCTAATTCACATTCCCTTACAGTATGCTCGCTCAAAGAAGAACTCCAGACACAGGCAACTCTACCCTCTGGGGATGGGGAGCCAGAGGGCTCAGCAAACAACGGAGTGGCCTGTGAGAACCTTTAAAGCAGTGAGGGAAAGAGGCTCTGCACAGATGTTTATAAAATTTGACCATACTAGAAAGCCAAGCCATGGATGGGCGTAAGACCCCAGCTTCATCTCTCGGTGCTGTGTGGCTTCAGGCAAGCCACCTCACCTCTCTGAGCCTCTTCTTTTTATCAGTACTAAAAATAGAAGACTACTATCTGGCTTCTGCCGTTATTTGATTATTGCAAGGTTTTTGCTCACTGTATATGTCATTTGTTATTGTAAATGATACTAAGGACATTGACAATGGTCCAATGGGAATCAGAGTTTTTTCATTTGTTCATCACACTAGTGCCAGGCCGAGTGCCCTGCGATGAGGAGGCAGTCATGACGAAACCAGGCACAGCCTTCAAGAAACGGATGTTGAGTGGAAGAAACAGACAATCAGTAAGCCAGCAAGCAAATAGGACAGTGAGGGTGGGTGCTTGTGTGAGAGCTGGGCAGGAGTCTGGGGAGCCCCAGGAAGTCTCACTGAGGGAGTGATAGTCCAGTTATGATATGAAAACTGGGAAGAAGCGAGGACAAGAGTGCCCAGGCAGGACAAACAGCAAGGTCAAGGGCCTTCCTGCTACACAGAGCTGGCGTGCTTGAAGTGTGGAGAGTGGCCTGAGCACTGCGGCATGCAGTGGACTTAATTCCATATGATGTAGCTTCAGCCTCTTTTCTTCATACTTTGAAAGCTCATTTACCTTGGGGATAACTGTTCATTTACAGGTAGGTGCTGTTGTTGTTAGGTGCCATCGAGTCAGCAACCCTGTGTTGCTGTAACAGAGTGAAACAATGCCTGGGCCTTCCTCACAGTTGTTGCTCTTCAAGCCCCTGTTGGAACCACAATGTCAATCCATCTCATTGAAGGTGTTCCTCTTTTTCTCTGCCTCTCTGCTTTACCAAGCATGGTGTCCTTTTCCAGGCACTGGTGTCCCCGATACTGTGGTCATAGTACGTGAGACAGCGTTTCCCTAACCTTGCTTCCAAGGATCATTCTGGCTGTGCTTCTTGGAAGACGTATCTGTTTGTTCTTGTGGCAGTCCACAGTGTACTCAGTGTACGCCATACTTCAAAGGCATCTATTCTTCTTAAGTCTTCCTTATTCCTGGTAGAGCTTTCACAGGTGTGTGAGGTGATTGGAAATACCATGGCTTGGACCAGAAGTACCTTGGTTCTCAAGGTGACATCTGTACTTTCTAACACTTAAAAGAGCTATTTTGCAGCAGATTTGCCCATCATTTAACTTCTTGACTACTGCGTTCATACGTGTGGATTGTGGATCCAATTAAAATGAAATCCCTGATAACTTTTCTTTTCTTTTTTTTTCTACTAAAGGCTTCAATTACCCGTCTGGATTCTTCTATCCTCTCTAGGGTCATCATTCCCTCATGTTCAGTTTTGTGCCTGGGGATTCCCCCTAAACAAGATCCCTGAGCTCCTGAAGTTCATAGTCTGATGTGGGAGCTGTTAGCTATTGTCATCTGGATGCTATCAAGTTGGCTCTGACTCCGGGTGACCCCATGGGTAAGAGCAGGTCTGCCCCATAGGGTTTCCTAGGCTGTGAACTGAATGAGAGCAGGGTGCCAGTTCTTTCCCCCCCTGGAGCTTTTGGTTGGGTTTGAACTGCCAACCTTTGGGTTAACACCTGAACACTTTCATCATGGCACTACTAGGGTTTCTTCCTGAAGTAGGCTTTTTTTTTTTTTAAATTGTGTGCCTGTAAATCAATATACAGTGACCCTAGAGGGCAGTCAAACTGCCCCTTGGGGTTTCCAAGACTTTAAATCTTTACAGGGCAGTCTCATCTCTCACGGAGCAGCTTGGTAGACAATTTCAGGGGGAAGCTCAAGAAAACAAAAGGAGCATATGCCATGTGCAACACCCTGGAGTTGGGAGTCAGAAAGGAAGGTCAAACTCAGCATCGTTTCAGCTGAAAGAACTGGAGAGAAATAAAAAATTCCAGCCCCGAGGTGCGAAATTAAAAGATGGTTGCTGTTAGGTGCCGTGGCATCAGTTCTGAGTCATCGCAACCCTTAGAGAGACAGAAGCAAACACAGCCCGTCCCACCCCATCCTCACACTTGTTCCTGTGTCAGACTGTCGTTGCCTCCGCTGTGTCAATCCACTTACCTACGGGCAAAATGTTGAATGCTGCAGGAAGCATCCAAGGTGGGAGAAACAGCATCCCTGTACCAGAAAGAACTGGTCCACATTGAACCATTTCAGACCAACAACCAATGGTGCTGGAGGGAGAAGTTCAAGCCCCGCTGAAAGCATTTGTGGAAAACAAGACTACAGGTCTTGATGGAATACTAAGGGCAAGGTTTTAACCCAGCTGTTGAAGCACTGTAGCACTTATGGGTCGATGCCAGGAAATTTGGAAGATGGACACTTGGCCAGCCGACTGGAAGAGATCCATCTTTGTACTCACTTCAAAGAAAGGTGCCCCAATAGAATTCGGATATAAAATGATTTAAAAATAAATAAATAAATAAAGATTTACAGCCTCAAAAAAAAAATAAATAAAAAAAAAAAAAAAAAAACTAAAAAAAAAAAAAAAAACTAAGAAAGAACTCGGAGATTCTCAGCCACCCAAGCCTGTTGCTATGGTCACAGGAGGGTCTGCCCTTTACTCTTTTTTTGGCCACAGACGATCATTTGTTTGTAGACCGTTAGGACTCCAGGAAGTCCAGTCTGTGTTTGACGAAAGCTTTGGGTTTGCAGATAGGATCCAGGTAGTATATGTTCGAGTCTTGGCAGCAACCAAAATGGACAATGTTGTGGGCAAGAGAGTCATTTGTGGAAGGCTGAAAATTGGGGCATTTGCGAAGCTGGAATGAAGGGACCAGATGACCTGTCTAAACCAGGGGTGCAGGAGGGGCGCCCTCGGGAGACCCGAGGTGTGTGCAGCAAGTCCTCTCAGGACTCTCCAGGGCTCTGTTGCCGTGGATCTGCTGATGCTGAGCTTCTTGCTGCTTCGGCTCAACAGCATTGTCTTTGGCTTTTCTGAGTCTTGCTCTGTAGTTCTTGAACCACACTTTCAGGACTGTGGGCTCTAAGCCCATGTTTGAGGCCACCTCTTTCCGAAGGGTAGAACTTGGGTACGGGTTCTTCCGGAACAAGCGCTTCAGCTCTTTCACCTGCTCCTCCGTGAACTTGGTCCGGTTCCTTTCTGTGCACTGCCAATGTTTGTTGCTAGGATGGTGCTTCGGGTCAGCCATCCTTTAGCCTTCATATGTCTTTGGGGTCAGGTCCAGTGCCGAGAACTGGCAAAGACAGGGTTGTAACCAAAGGTCGGCTGTTCAAATCCACCAGCTGAGGGAGAAAGATGAGGCTGTCTGCTCACATGGAAAGGACATGCCGTGACTGGATCTGGATCGGTAGGGGTCACAAAGTTAGGCAATGTCGGTGGTAGTAGGTTTTATAGCTACCCCTGACAGCTTTTCTCTGTTTACCGTGATTTTGTCTTTTTTGTCCAGCTGTGAGAATGTTTTCTTTTTAACTTGAGATAGAACCAGACTGAAGGCTGCAGTCTTTGATCTTCATCAGCCAGTGCTTCAAACAAACCTGTGTTATATCACAAGTTATTAATAAGCTTTCTTTCTATCTTGATGCTCTGGTCTTTTTCATATAGTCCAGCACCTCGGAGTATTTGCTCAGCACACAGAGTGAATAAGGGTGGCGAAAGGATCACGTTTCCTCATTTTAAACCTCAGAGTATTCACTTGTTCTTGAACTATGGACAGGTTCTTCATGCACGCTGTAAAGCATTCCGGAATTCTCATTCTTTGTAATGTCAACCATAACTTGTTACAATCACACTGTTGAATGTGTTTGTATAATCCAGAAAGCACAAGTAAACATTATAAAGGAACTCTTTGCTTTCAGCAAAGACCATCCAACATCGGCAGCTATGTCCCTTGCTCCACATCCTATTCTGAATCAGGCTTGAATTTCTGACAGCTGCCTATCAATATACTTTACAACTGCTAGGAAATTATCTTCAGCAAAATTTTGCTTTATTTTTCAAAAATTTCCACATTCTGTTCCACATTCACCTTGCCTAGAATGAGTTTATAGAGTTAAGGTTTATAGACCTTTCCCAGTTGGTTGATAAGTTAGCTGCCTTACAAATTTGGGGGCATAGACTGGGGAACATCTCCAGAAGTGCATCCATGAATTGAATCCTATCCAGTGGAATTTCATTAGTTCCTGGATTCTTGGATCTCACCAGTGCCCTCGGTGCCCCTGAGTTCTTTCCTCAGGATCATTGGTTCTTGATCATATGCTACCTCTTGAAATAGTTTAATGTTGACCAGTTATTTTTGATTCAGTGATTCTGTGCATTCTTTTCATCCTCTTGTAATGCTTTCTATTTGTTGTATGCCATCAGGTGTGGTCTATCTGTACAGTACCTGTTTATGTTGTTGAGAAAAGATATTTGCAATGGAGAAATCATTGGTCTTGTAAAATTCTATCATATAGTTTCCATTCTAATTTCTGTCACCAAGTCATATTTTCCAACTACTGATCCTTCCTCTTTGTTTCCAACTTTTTCATTCTAATCTCCAGTAATTATCAATATATGCTGACTGCATTAAAAAAGATCAATTAAAAAAATAAAACTGAAACAACAAGAGGTTACTACATATACTTGCGTATAAGCCGAGTTTTTCAACACATTTTAAAATGCAGTTTTTGTGGTAAAATTAGGTGCCTCGGCTGATATGTGTGTCGGCTTATACTCACGTACACACGGCAATTTCTTAAGTAAGTGATCTTCATCATTAATTTCGAGTAAGATTAAATAATCATATTATCTGACATGGTTATTTCTAGCATCTTTTCAAGTTTCCTTGGCTAGAGATTTCTTTTTTACTGAAAAGTACTTTATTATTTCTTACAGTTAATACTTAAATAAGAACGATAAAAGAAGAATACAAAACTAGTTTGTGATATGAGTTTTAAAATATTAGTGAAAAATATTAATACCTGACCAAAAACAATAAAACTGTTATTTAAAAATTTTTAAATCAATTTCAGACTGTAGACATTGGTAGACATCTTCACTTTATCATTGGCTTTAGTGTTCCATGTGTACATTTAAATAATAGTTTTATTAACTAGTCTTCCTTATCCCTTCCGTATCCCACTTTATCCCATCACAGACAGCATTGTACTCCAAGATAGATCATGAAATGCTCTTTTTTATGATGAATGCTGTACCATTCCTTTCTAAACCATATGAGTGTCTGATTCAAAATGGCCAATATCAGCCCATTAGCTCTAGGATACTGATCTTCATGCATTCCATTTCATTTTTGATGACTTCTGATTTTCCCAGATTCACACTTTTTACATATCATGTTCCAATTATTTATGGGTGTTTGGCTGTTCCTTCTCATTTTGCATCCTGCCCTATCAGCAGTTGAAAGTTCCTAAAGCTTTGCTTCATCCATATCCTTAAGAAGGACTCGACTTTGAGAAGGCAGCCCTGCCCCAGCGGTATTTTGAATGCTTCCCAACTGAGGAGCTCATCTTCCATCCAGCATGGAATCTGACGGTATCCTACTGCTAGTCATAAAATTTTCCGTGTCTTAACCTTTCTGAAGTGGTCTGGCTCTCCTGCCTACTCTGGTCCAGTCTGGATCTCCAACATTGTACCAGTATGCAAGTCACCATCATATGACACGCTTCCAGAATGGTGGATGTGCTGTGGGTATTAACGTTATTTGCAGCATCTAACAGCAAGAATATGGAAGAGTGTTGTATTAGTCTGGGCCTCGTCCGGGATATGGACATATGTTCGCGTGGGTTCGTACTCCACTCTCGGTACCATAATATATTAGTCTGGATACTTTGGAGAAACAAATAGAACACCCAAGTGAGGGATATGTTGCCTCCAAAATCTGAAGAGGCCCACTAGGTGTTGAGCCTCTTTTTTAGTCATTGGGAGCACTAAATGCAATAGCTTATCCTTCATTTTAGTAGAAATATCTCGACATGCCCCACATCACTGGACCCCTAGAAATTGTACTGAGGTGGAGGGTACCTGAATCTTCGTTGGGTTAATTTCCCAACCTCTTGTACGCAGATATTGTACCACCGAATCTAGAGTCTTTGATACATCTTCCTTAGTGGGTCCAGTGGTGTGGAGCATGTTGAGATATTCCTACTAATTTGAAGGATAAGCTATTGCATTTAGCGCCCCAAACAACTAAAAAAGAGGCACAATGCCTAGTGGGCCTCTTTGGATTTTGGAGGCAACATATCCCTCACTTGGGTGTTCTATTTGTTTCTCCAAAGTATCCAGACTAATACATTATGGTACCGAGAGTGGGGTACGAACCCACGCGGACATATGTCCATTGGCTTTATCTGACCTCTGGTAGACAAAGAAGGAAAACTTCCATGAGGGAGAGGCCAAACAAGCATCTACTCTCCATCAGAATATGTTTGGCCCATGAAGTAAATTGTCCTTGAGTCTATCATATCAGCTCTGCCACTTAGGACCTCTCTGACCTTGAACTAGGTATGTAGTCTTTCGGAACCTCAGTTTCCTCATCCGCAAAATGAGAATGAGAAGCCCTGAGCTCCATCCCTGAGAGCATTGTTATAAAAATGGAAGGTTGTAAAGGCAATGATATTTAGGGAAGTGATTTTAATGTTTCAAAGGCATGATTAATGGGGAAGAGAATGTCATGACTCACTGGCCCTGGGCTTGCTTGATTTTCGATAATTGGATAGTCTTCAACAAGATTTTCTATGGTCAGATTGAATCCCTGTTAACTGGCAGGTGGCAAGCCTCCTATTCCAGGGCCATGTCCTTTGAATGCAGCAGAAATGGTATTACATGGAAATACATGAATAATGAATGAAGGGCTCTGAAGCCAGGCGGCTCCTGGAGGGTTTGTCTGCCTTGGAAACTCAGCAAAAAGGAGGTGCTGTTTCTGGAAGGAGAGGGGTGGGCTTCCTGCTGGCAGCACTGGGTTGTAAGTGAAAGCTCAATTCCCAGAAAAAGGTGAAGACGTGGGCCTGGGTTGACGAGCTGGCGAGCGATGGAGCTAGACTGAGAGTGTGGCTCTTGGGAGTGGTGCCCTGTGCTCTCTGTGCCTCAGCCCTCTGCCCTTTGGCATTCGGATACACTGAATTGTTCAACCTCGGTGAGTTTGTGCCATGTTACTGATGCTGTGCTCAGCCCTGGGAATACAGGGTAGACAAAGCCCGCCCTCACGGCACCCTCACGGCACGTGCAACCTCGCCAAGAGACAGACTATTAAAGAACTGCAGTGCTGAAGGCATCCCTGGGTGCGTGATACACTTGAATGCTAACCAAAAAGTTGGCAGTCAAAGTTCACCAGGAGTGACCCAGAAGAAAGGCCTGCACATTTTTCTACTTCAGAAAAATCAGCCCTTGAGAGTTCAGCAGAGCCCAGTTCTATTCTGACACACTAGAGGTGGCATGGTCTTGACGTGTAGAAGTGATGTCAGGCAGAGGAGAGAGAATCACCAGCAGCAGCTCAGGGCTCATTCCCACGAGGAGGGGCTCACACAGAGCTCTTGTCTCCAGCCACTTTCCCAGTTATGCCACCAGCCACCACCACCACCCCCTCCCCCAGGACTCTCTGCTTTCCTGCTGGGATTGAGAATTCATTGCAGTGGCTATACAGAACTCCCAGACCATACGCCAGTAATGTTGCTCTTTATTGAGGCTGTAATAAGAGTAATAAGCAGGAGTTTATCAGGAGAACCTCCTCTCACCTGTACCGCAGGCAGGCCTCTCTCTGACCTTTGGCCGCTTGGTCCCTGAGGTTTCTTGAGGGCTGGCCAGTGTGTGTCCTGCTCAGACAGTGGTGCAGAGCTCTCTAGCTCGGCCAGCAAGTGTGCAGAGGCACTCTGCTTTGCCGGGAAGTAAGCCCCGGGCCAACAGTGTGCAGGTCTCGTCATGAGTTGGAAAGTCCAGCGTACCAGTCTCTTGGTTCCTTTGTCCCTGTTGTCCCTGTAGCTCCGCAATCGCTTCTCACTGCTTCTGGTGTCACAGCTCACCACCCCTGTGTTCCCAGCACAGGGTCCTTAGATCCAACGGACCCACGGTTCATGGTGCCATCTCTTCTCGTTGGTAATCACATCCCTTTCTGGGATGGCACATCTTAAGCCTAGCAGAATGACAAAACTAACCAGTGTCCATGTTAGGTTCCCCTCCCCCTATCTACACAGTCCC